TTGCAAGACAACCACAAAAAGCCTAGATTACAGCGGTCCGCATAGATGTGACGATAGAGAATAACTGGCTTCATCCACGCAAGCTTTCCCGGTGATAAGGGAACATGTGTGTATCTGAATGGTCAGGTAACTGGAGTTCGCCGTGGTGGTCCTAGCAAAGCCTGCTGATAGCAGAACTGAGACAAGAAGTGGACAAGCTCCAAAAGATACAATTGTACAGAGGGAAAGAGGCTTAAGGAGCGGAGGGCGACTTGATTTAGTCATCTGTGGCTTCTGCCAATTGAAGTGACGGAAAATTTTGGAGGTGACCTGTTGACCCATCTTTTGCTCTCAGCGAAGATGGGGAAATTTTATCAACTGGGGCATGGACTACATGGAATGCATGGAATGCATGAGGCTTGGATCTATCACGGAGAAACCCTCTATTGTCCGTTGTATTTGGCCAAATTCGGCGTTGCGAATTTGACCCACGAGGCAATGATAGAATACTCCCTACTCCAATAATCTTGCCCACTGAACAGCATCCACTCGGACAAAATCCTTACCAAGCCTTTAATCACGATCTACTGTGCTCTTAGTTTGGTAACAATATTCCTTGTTGACTCAGTCTCTAGTCTCGGTTGGCCTCAAAATACACGACCAGGTCAATACGAACATCTGCAAGAGGATACGAATATGTCGAGGCAGATGTTCGTACTACACTTGATGGAAATCAAGACGGGTAAAAAAGTGATATAAGGATGGGCATACACTCGACTAGAGTGAAATCTAGATACTTAGCAAGGAGTTGGATGGGTATTGTGTTTCATACATGAGAAGTAAATTTTGAAGGCAACTGGCTGTGTGAAATCATGTTTTGTTTAGTTTCAAATTGGCCGGGCCAACAGCTGCCTACATAAATTCGAGTTACACTCACATGATAGCGTGGGATAATTAAAGCCCATTGTTCTCCTATTGCAGAATGTTGGATGTGGCGACTTAAGCAGGTCTTTCAAAGGAAGATCATTGTTGGTGTCACGCCTGCAGTTGCGGTAGTGAAGATAATACTGTAAGTATGATCAGAGCCAGATGGTGCAGTGGCACATCATCTGGCTCAGTCTCTTGAGTAGATTCTGAATAGCTTGGGCACCGATTCTACTTGAGATGTAACATGGCTGGTTCGTAAAGAGCGAGGCCTGATCAAGTTTCTCGCGGCTCTCGCGGAAAGGACGACGAATTATGCCTGTATCACCAATGATTTTGAAGATTCCCGTTGGTGGGTACACACGTAGAATGGTCCAATGTTCTGTGCAAGCTAATAGATCTCACAGCGGTACCTGCGAATGAAATCTAGAGTATCAATGTCTCTGAAGCCAAAAAGTCATCCAACATGGATGCCAGACGCGACCATGTCTCATAGCTATATAGCTGAATACACATTTGATGATCTTTTTTTAAGAAAAAAGAAAGCTGTTGGCTCTGCTGATCGTGCACCTACGGTGGAGTTGAAGATAAATGAATTTATGCACCATACTAAACACAATACCATGATGTGGTAATATTTCTTGGATTTTCTCAGTCTGTGGCTAGATAGGATGTCTAGGTCCTCTGGTACTCTGTTCCCGTCCAGAGCTGAAAGCACACGCGAGTCTTCAGTCGGCCGTGCATATGGAGTTTGTGCTATTATCATGCCACCTCTCGACCCAAGGGAAGAAAGGCTACTTCTAGAAGTGTGGCAGCTAGGGAAACCCGCAGAACAAGTCAAGATAAAGAGTGCATGCTGGTAAGTAGCCCCATCCATCTTTCCACCGAGATACAATGAGGTTGAAAGAGGAACAAGTATCAGTGGTGGTCCAGGAGAAGCTTGGGACAAATACGGCCTCGGGAACACAAGTTTGCCAGGGAGAGGAGGGTGATTGGTTTTATTCGATGGATTCTAGAGTCGGACTCGGTATTAGGGTGGAAAAACTGTTCCGTAGAGGTTTTCTTGTCGCTTCTTTGATTCTATTCAGCCCATGCAGCCATGAGGCTGCCAGCGGATATTTTCAGGCTATGAAAAGGTATAAAGGCTATCATTACGGCAATGCGAGCTGTGGATAGACTCAAGTCGGCCTGGGAGTCGTATCTAAACCATAGTCTTACCCCACTCCTCGCTTGGCTATGATGAAGCCATCTTCAAGACATCTAGATCTGTGGGCGACTTCCAAACCCATCACCGCCCACCATTGCTCGCTATTGTGAAGAAAGCCACGGTAGAAATACAGTGTAATGATAGGAGAAGATAGGTAGAGAGAACGGACGTGGCGAGGAGGTGGCATTCCGATGGACTAGTTCATGTGCCAACGTGGAAAACAGTCTAGACGTAGGGTACGGAAGTGCCGAGTCGGGCCAACGCTTGAATCTGGAAAGCGAAAGAGTTTTGGAGACCTGAGGGTAGCATGGGTTTTGGCGCGTAGTAGGCGATATTGATGAACTTGCGCTTCTGTGCGGATACACGGGGCTCTGTAAGACAAGAGGACTTGTTATGCAAAACACGGGTGAAGTCTGCGTTGGTGCGGCTTTTCAAGATGGATAGGGATGTCAGACACTCGACGATAGAGAACCTTATCCGACCGGAGCCCGTTCGCACACAAGCTCCTACTGGTAACATTAGGCGATGTCTCCAAACACGTTGGCATACAAATAACAACTCTGCCGTCCAAGTACTGGAGAATACCTCGGTCTCACAGACGAATGAAGTCTCCCAGGCCTGTACGGGAAATAGTTTCAGCTTCGCAGATACACAGGGGAGAGTTGGAGCGTTTTGGCGACACCGCTGACAAGCGTTATGACTACGAGCCGCAGGCATCAATTGCACGTCTTATTCATCTAGAGTTACCTAATTTAAACCGAACCACCTACCCGTGGCATTTTATCGATGGCTTGTTTGGTTGTCAAGGTTGTTTGGAGACCTGGATAACCTCAAACAGTATTTCATTCGCAAATACTTCTGTGAGCTTGAGAAATTTACACTTCACATTCAACGCCTTTCTGCGAATATCTACCAATGAAAGATTTCGTGAGCTAAATTGAAGCAAGCAAGTCTTCATCATTGCCTACAATAGCGAAGCTCTGAAAATATCGCAGTAAAATGGGCACAATAATCTCACAACGAAAAAAACAATTGGCCGAATGAGTGTTGTACACTTTAATTCATACTGCATGCAGCTATTTAGTCATGACATGGTGTTGTACTCATATCACTGGCAAAAGAGTTAAGGTGTGGCGTTGCTAGTACAGGTATAGGCGACACTTGGCCTGAGCCACAACACAAACGATTGTGGCGCCATCAAGAGAAAGAGATAGTCTGATAGACTCCTTATGCCCATGTTATACAGCCACTCCTGTGTCCCTTGGCAACCCGAAGCGCTACCTTGTCACATGTTCCACCCTCCATAAAGCATAGAAGGTGGTGTCGGGAACCCAGATGAATTAGAGGGCTCATATGCCCAGAGTACCGTGGTATTTGTGCCACATGCTACGGGATTCGGCCCAGCGACTTTCTGTCTTGAATAGGCTAAATGCTCAAGGTATCCAGTCCGATTGAAAGACTTTCCCAGGTCTTGCAGCGTTCACGCAGTAACCACTCGGTTGAGGCACATGAGCGGGCAATCTCAGCGATTGATAGCTTCGTCCTATGCTATCATTTGGGTAGTTCCTGTGCGGCTTATTTTTTACGTAGACGGACATCAAGCCTCATAATGATGTAATTCCCCGGTCCTTGATTCCCAGGAGATATAGGGCACACCTTGGGACCTAAAAATGAAAAATAAATCATGTAATTTCGTTGCCGGCTACAAAAGCCCTAGTTATTATGGGTATTTTTTTCTGCATCAGATTTTAATTGCGTATGCAGCTATCTAGCTATGAGACTACACCAGCGAAAAGGACAGAATAGATGACTCATTTTTATGATGGGTAGTGTGCCTGCTCTTTGTCTCCCATCATCGCCTGCACTGTTAACCATGCCATGTACCATACTTGATAGAACTCTGGGAACAAGGCTTCGAATCTCCGCGTGGTGAGGTAAACGAGCTGGACCAAATTGCGTCATGTAATCTTGTTTCAGTCGATTTACCCACCATTTTATCTCCTTATGAGCGTCAGGCGAATCCCGGGAAGCAGATTCCGTCCATACTCACAGTAGCCGCGCTTGAATCATGTAATTCCATCAGCACACGCCGGAAACTTCTACAAATTTTTGAGATCGTAAAGCTGGGATAAGGTTGAAGTTGACCTACAATCGAGGAAGAAGAGGGAGAGAAAACTAAGAGGCCTCGGTGGGCGACTGGATGATGTCTCCGATGAAGAGAACGACTGCTGTATGAAATGAGGAGGGGCTGGGATTGATCGGACAGGACGAATTGGAAATTAGGAGGGTGTCAGAGCCTCGGGCGCGTGCTGGCCGAGGTTGAGAAGAAAACTGCGCTTCGGCGCCTTAGAATCGGGTTCTCTGGACGGTTGGAATTAGCATGTCCAGCACACGCGTGAAATCCGAGGCGGGACGTGGTTATGTACTTGGATGGTACAGTGCAGACTCGTTGTAACGAAATCTTCTTCGCACACGCACTACGTTCTCACAGCAAATATAACGAATTAACGACATTCGACGTCCCGATGTCGCCGCCGCCCTTTTCTCGTTATATCGAATAACTGTCACACGATGTAACCACAGTCATTGGCTAAAGCCTGATTATATTCATTTCTGTGCCTGATAATCAAGGCTGGAATCACTGTTTCCTAGTTTAGTTCTAGACATGTCATGCACTTCCCCACACGACTCATTAGGCCTGCTTGAAGTCCGGATCCACCTCGTGTAAATCAATTCTTAAATGGCGACTAAGCTTACAGACACGACGACGCGAATATCGAGGTGGAGAAGGAGGAGGTCACGCTTGTGGATATCATTGCTGCACATAATATACCATAGCAGGAGGTGCACGAGGCAGCTGAGCCGCCTGCTACGATTAATCAAGCGCTAAATGGCCCCAAGCGCCTGCTTAGCTTCAAAGAGCATGACCCAGATGCCTCTCCATGGAGCTCACGATACTCTCGCGCATGGGAAGAAGCCTCCAGCAGCAGACAGAGCTTAATAGAAGGCAAAGAACATTAGATAGCTGGTTTAACTATTATTTGAGATAGAGCGATATCACCTTTGATATGTGAAGAAGCGCAAAGATTTCATAGAGTGGACTTAGTAATTAAATGCGATTGTACCTATCGTCACATGATCGTGTTCTCCACAAAAGCGTTTTAACTAGTCCGCACTGTAGTTAACTTGATCCAGCCCGGTCCCACTCGTGCTCAAGCTCCATGGGTTTGCTGAGGATGCCAATTGCCCAGCACATTAATTTACAAACAAAAAAATACGTTAGACACCAATTTGCACCCGTTGATTTATCTGAATTTATAATGCAGCTGGGCATAGACTATCTAGCACATTGGGCTCCTCTCTGGCCCAGGCCACATCTTGTACAGTGCTACCATCCTCTTTTGTTAATTGTAAGATCTCTGATATATCGCTCGTGATGGATGGCCGCTCAACTCAGTACTTACCCGTGGAATTCGGCCAAATTTTCCACGGAATCTTCTACCCAACAACAATAAAAAGTCTCAAAAACCCTGCAGCCCCAGCCAGGCGAGGCCTAGACACCGGGCCCACATGAGGTGCGCATGTTCATCTACATCTCCCTTCTTTGTAACAGTCGAGGTCGACTTGATCCAATCCGCCATCTCCGTATCGGGTGCTGAGTACGCTCCGGAAACTCGTCGGATGGCTTCTCCTCCATGTTCAAGGGTTGGTGACCAATAGGGCTTCGACCCTACCATCTAATCTGATCGTGGTTGGCTTCATGATGATGGGGATAGGGGGATGTGTTGAGGGATAAAGAAGAAACAGACCACAGAAGCAATTGGGAACCCTCATCGAAGGGAAGATTGTCTTACTCAATCCCGGTTCAGCAGACTCTACAGTGAGAGCTGGAGGCTCGTAGGGGTCGCCACTGACAGGTGTTGAGAATAGTCCCCCTGGACCCATTCGTTGCAGGCGGTGAAACCTGTGACTAAGGCGACAAGCCCTGCTGATTATTATTGTGTTCGTGGAATTACAAGTCTTTAGGCGGTCGGTTAGAGTACAGTGAGACAATCGCCGCACGATAAATTGTATTTTGGGAAACACTAGACTCGTACATATGCTTTTCGAGTGATGACTACGAGCCAAAGAAGCCAATGATCCCACTAGCTTCGTCGACGTCCATTAGGTTAACCAAGATTGCACAATTGAGTTACTTCGCTCATGATTTCCCTGAATGTGGTATGCGCAAGGATTCTCCTTCTGATTCCTTCTTGTGATGAGGGCATGAGGATAAGGAAAACTGCCTCGCCATACATATATTTGCTCCATGATCATGTGACAAATACTTTATTGCCCCCCATATACTATCCCTACCCATAGGCACGTCAAATAAAGCGGCTACGACAACCTACGTAGCAAACTGGGATGACATCACTTGTACAATTCCTTGTTTAGGGATTCCAGTGACGAGGGGCTGGCATCGATCGGGTCCATATCCTAGAGTAAAACCCGATGTGGGAAGGCTAAGTTCATGCGGAAGCCTAGTAAAGCCATGCACCTTGTGTCCTCCAAGCTAATTTGTAGATCAAAAATGGGTCATATCAGATTCCAGACAATACGAAAGGGGTCCTATTGTGAAATACACCGTGTACGTCGGGAAACATGGCAATCTTGCGAGGAGAATTCATTGCTGATACGCTGTAGGTCACAGAAGTGTAGAACTCAAAGACTAAAAAACAGCCTTTCGAGGATTTCCTCTGGCGATTCTTCGGTCCCAGGAAATGCAAACTTGTCAGTCGTCTCCGCACATCTTAATCACATTGAAATGTATGAAATGTTTAGCTACAAGGATGGAGCATTCATGTATGTTTGCTAAATGGCCACAGATGGCTCGGTGTGAAATTCTTCATGTGAGGTAAACCTCTCTGGTGAGTAATGGCTAGTGGTTTTGTCAACGTTTTGACGATACCATCACATTGTAAAACACCAACAAAATTTACCTCGAGCCCCATTATTTTGGAGTGGGGTGTCTTGATGAGGTTGAGACATTGCTCAACCACGGTAAGCAAACTTATGCAAACTCCTGTGTTCATCCTCACGGATGGCTGGGGTTGTGGTGCTCTCTGCTTATTACGTAAGTTGCCAGAGCCAATTTGTCTAACCGATCTGCTGTCAGGAGGTGGTAGGCTTAGGGTGATCGCTTTCCAGCAAGAGCGAGGTCATTCCCGTCGTAGCTTGGTCAAATTTCGGCTGTCAAGGCAGTAAACGTCGTGAGATTCATCTATTCATGTAATCGATTACTTTGGCAAGTTGGATCAACAAGCGTTTATTTACAACATGGGCCGATGCGTCCAGAACCAACGGAAAGCGCCGGAAACGCCATGACATTACATTATTGAAAAGGAATTGACGATTTGTTCGTAATATTCGCTTGCTATTAATATTTTGATGTCCATCACGTTGGCAGCAGCACTGGCTTGTGTACATACCTAGTATCGGTGGTTAATGAAGCGTAGAGAGCACCTTTCCTCTTACCTGTAGCCTTCAGTGATAAAGTTTGGATAATCTCCAAGCTGTTATGAATTTATATAGCCAAATATACACCATGATATCTTGGAGATTAAAAGTGGGCAAACTTATCCTCGTGGAAGCTAGGCCGTACCAGCCAGGATAGCTATTAGAGCTCTCTCGGCACTCGCGCGTGATCGCTGAAGTTGACAGGTTTGACATGACATGACCGGAAAGTTTAAAAGGAGGTCATGCTAGAGGGAGATACTAATCCTCTAGCAATTACAGGTCAAATATCTCTTCTGCCCCCCGTTAATTGTTTAATCTACAACAGATCCGTCACACCCGCAATCATCTTCCTCATCCACCAAACAATAAAACAAATCGCCCCTCATGTCGGGCCCTGGCGTAGGATTTGAGTATCCATCAGTTGAAGTCTCATGGCTTCAAAGGGATCTTCTGCTTTTTGCCAACTCCATCGGCTGTAAAGCTGATGAATTAAACTTCCTATTCGTACGCTGCTCGCTCTCCCTTCGGCTTCCGCGCTAACCAATCGTCTGCAGGAACTACACCCTGAATTTTCCATGTTTCCAACCTATCCAATAATACTGCCCTTCAAGAAAAACTCGCTCGACATCGTTGACTTTTATTCTGCCCAAAACGAGGTTCAAATACCGAATGTGCCCAAGCTAGACCCAACCCGCGTCGTCGATGGACAGCGGCATATGCAGTTCTTCCGTCCATTACCAACGACCTCCCACGGCCGGAAATTTGAACTCAGATCCAAGGTTTTGGGGGTCTATGACAAGGGTAAGGCGGGAACGGTTCTCGAGACCCAACTGGACTTGGTTGACACAGACAATGGCGATCTCTACGTCCGTGCCCTCAGCAGCTTCTTCTACGTTGGCCAAGGTCAATGGGGCGGGCCCAAAGGAAAGCCAACACCCAACTATGCCCCACCCGCTGGAAAGGCTCCTGATGCAGTTTCTACCCAACAGACCACTTCTGAGACTGCACTACTGTACCGACTCAATGGAGATTACAACCCTCTACACGCGACTCCCGAGCCTGGGCAAATGCTAGGCTTTGGCGGCACAATTATTCACGGTCTCTACAGTTGGAACGTTGCTGCACACGCTGTTTTAAAAACCATGGGGGGAGGCAAACCAGAAAATATCAAAGAATTTCAGGCTCGATTCTCTAGTCCTGTCAGGCCAGGCGATAAACTTATAACGGAAATATGGAGGACTGGAATCTTCACGGGAGAATTTGAGGAGATCAGATTTCAAACTAGAACTGAGGGAGGTAAGGTGTGTTTAAACAACGGACGGGCGCTAATCAGACCGGTAAAGAGTCAAACCAAACTGTAACTAATTTAATTAATTCGTACATTATATACCCGCATCGTAATCCCATATACGCTGAAGTCGACACCCCTAACGTATACACCATTTCGGTCCCATATATTCCTTTGTCAAGTGTAGTATAACATTTGCGATTCTCCCCTGCCACAGACAATTATAGGCTTAGAATTAGCTACTTTTGTAGTACAATATTTATTCAACACAGTGGTAGCAGTATTTACCGTAACCAATGGGTAGCTTAACTCTCACATGCCGCCATCATGATTGATTATGACTAGAGTAGCTGGTCATGAGCGTTTTTGGCCAAATATTCCTGGGCCGTAGCAACGGCAGCATACAGGCCTACCATGACGACGTCATGCCTTGCAAATTACCTCAGTATGGAGTGGTTTGCTCTAACCAATAGGAAGATTTTCGATGTTACCTTTGCCGTTCATGACCCACTCGGGTTCAACGAGTCGCTCACGCTCCTGGAACAAGTATTTGTAGGCTGTCCGGATAGTGCCGTCGCTAACACCGGCCACTTCGGCGATTTCTTTAGGACTCTTAGGCTTATACATCAAGTGAGATATCATGTAGATACATGCAGCAGCAACCGATAAGGGCGAACGCCCGGCGAGGTCACCGACGGTGGATATCTTATCAGCAAGTTGACCAGAGATCTTCACAAACTGGAAATCAAGACCAAGTTGACTGCAGAAACGTTCGCAGAGGCTACTTGCAGCTGTCATTCCAGTAGTGTGGTAGTCAGGTACTTCATGGCACTTGTCAATACCCAAGATGCAGCCAAGTTTTTTAGAGTCAACTTACAGGATATTTTAGCCAAAGCAATTTTTTGTGTATCGGAGGCAAAAAACTTTTCAAGTGCTTTGAATGTTCGCCCAATTTCCTTTTTAGATACTTTTGTTAGTGCATAAATTTCCCGGAAAGTTCTTGGAGCGTCTCCTTTACGACAGGCAATAAAAATACAACCAGCAATAATTGCTTCCTGAGACTTGCCCTTGAAAGCTTTGGCATCGTCGACTTGCTTGTATAGCAGCTTAGCATAGTCAGTGACTAACTTTGGCGCCGATATAGCATCACAGTGTGCACCAATCTCCTTGTACGCAGCGAGAAGACCTTTGGTCGATTTATCGACGGCATTCTTGTTGTGAGCTCGAAGAAGATCTCGAGCGTTACCCCCTTCGCTGAATGCAATGGATGTTTGAAGTTGGGATCCATTGAGTAGAATATTTGGACCATCGCCAACACGTGAGGGATCATCATTTCCTTGATCATCATTGGAAAATGTGCGCCATTCAGAACGTGTGTCTACAATACGATCACCGAGAACTAGCCCACAAGAGCCACAGACCATATCGCCAGATGAGAATTCCTCTACCAAGTTTGGTGGAACCTCTTTACAGTCCTGACACATGACTTGCATATTTAAATTTTCGCTCCATTTTGGCTCATCAGCCTGATTACTTGAAGCCATCATTTTATTTGCTTTGTATGGTTTCGCAATGTATTTGTTATCTGACTCGTTAAATTCTAGACGCTTACGAAGTTTGCGTCGAATAGATTTTCTCTTTCGTGATACGAGCGATCGGACGTAGAAATCTGTGGTAGGTTTCTCACACAACAACCGCGTCGAAGTCTGGATGAATAATGGGGAATGCGTTTTGGCGGTGATAGAGTTGACTAAGTTCTAAATTTTTTAGTTGATGTCACAGTCCGAGACGATGACTTTTTGTCAATTTTATGAAGTTGTAGACTTATTCGGGACGTATTATAAGCCGTTGTTAAAGACTGGCTCCTGTTTATGACAGATATACAGGAAGATTAGTTAGAGTGGATGAACTGCTAAAGTATGCTGCTGTTTGACGATTTGAGATTTTCGCAGAAAGTTGAACCAACAAAGGCATCTGTGATTTGCTCAAATGGCAAGACTTATCGCGTGAAATGACCGGCACTTGACTATGTAGCGATAGCAGTGTATTCTAGCTCACACTTGCGGCTAACATACGTTGTTATCCGTAATATTGAGTAGCAAGCGGCGTCGTGGCCATATTGCCAAGGCTATGTATCGGGCTTAATTTATCCAAGCTAGCCTGTTGTGAGCTTAGTGCAGACCATATCAACACGCGTCAGTGATGAATGTAATCGTTCGATAACTGGCAATTGAATGAGCCGTACTAACTGACAATTTTATTTTACCCTTGAAATCTACACTTAGAACCGGTCATGTCAACTCTAGAAGACCTCGAGGATCTCGAGCGCGCACAAGTTGGAGATGAGAAAGATGCAGAGATGAAAGATTCAGCCTTAGAAGGCAAGGAAGAGGATTCTCTCGACGACGAAATATACACTCTCAGTACAGCCGATATAAATACAAGAAGGCGGCTTCTAGAAAATGACTCACAGATCATGAAGAGCGAGTACCAGCGACTGTCACATGAAAAAGCTACGATGGGCGAAAAAATAAAAGAAAACGCAGATAAGATTGAGAATAACAGGTATTTACTACATGAGGCACCTCCGAAGCCCCAGCTAAATAAGTTAGGCAACTGCCCTATCTTGTTGGTAATGTTGTCGAGCTACTTGACCTCGATCCAACTGTTGAATCTCAAGAGGAGGGTGCCAATATTGACCTAGATGCAACTCGGGTTGGCAAGTCCGCTGTCATAAAAACCTCAACTCGGCAAACCATATTCCTCCCACTTATAGGACTAGTTAGCCCGGAAAATTTAAAGCCAGGTGACCTAATCGGCGTGAACAAGGATTCCTACTTAATTCTAGACACACTACCAGCTGAATATGACAGCAGGGTAAAAGCAATGGAGGTTGATGAAAAACCAAGCGAGAAGTACACAGATGTTGGCGGACTTGACAAGCAGATTGAAGAGCTTGTCGAAGCAATCGTATGGCCGATGAAGGAAGCTGAGCGCTTTAAGAAAATTGGAATAAAAGCACCTAAAGGTATTAAAGCAACATAGCATATGCTACAGAAGCTTACATAACACAGGTGCATTAATGTATGGCCCTCCAGGTACGGGAAAAACGCTCCTTGCTAGGGCGTGTGCAGCTCAAACAGACGCTACATTCCTTAAACTCGCCGGGCCTCAGCTTGTTCAAATGTTCATAGGTGATGGTGCCAAATTAGTACGGGATTGCTTTGCTTTAGCAAAAGAGAAGGCTCCGGCAATTATATTTATTGATGAGCTGGATGCCGTGGGAACTAAGCGATTCGATAGTGAGAAAAGTGGAGATCGAGAAGTGCAGCGTACTATGTTGGAACTTCTGAACCAATTGGATGGGTTTGCTTCTGATGATCGCATCAAAGTTCTAGCTGCTACCAACCGAATTGACGTTCTTGATCCCGCGCTACTACGGTCTGGCCGTCTAGACCGTAAAATTGAGTTTCCTCTGCCAAACGAAGAGGCTCGGGCTCAGATCCTCAAAATCCACAGTAGAAAAATGACAGTTGACGACGCTGTAAACTGGCCAGAATTAGCACGAAGTACAGATGAATTCGGTGGTGCTCAACTCAAAGCAGTTTCTGTCGAAGCAGGAATGATTGCTTTGAGGATGGGGAAAAACAAAATTAGTCATGAGCACTATGTCGATGCCATAGCAGAAGTGCAGGCAAAGAAGAAGGGTATGTTCTCTATGCTATTTTTTGCTCAAGCCCCGCTTATTTTTCATAGATACTGTCAATTTTTACGCATAACTTATGTCTTTCCTTGGAGTTGGGCATGGCTTAAAATTCATCTTGTAATTACAAACATAGGAAGAATTTATTGTAGCAGCTCTAAAGCTGTATGGTTCTCCACCTTAAAATTCAAGTCGGTGATTTTTCCGTTTACCTCGTAGTAGCCTAGTTAAAATCTATATCATTCAAGCACAACTCGATTACTTGAATTGTGCTTATCACGTAGAAGAGGTGCCAAATTTTACTAAATAAAGATCACATCAGTCAGATGTAGGATACGGATTCATGTTAAATTTTGGATAGATTATCTATCCATGCTTACTCATTTTCAGCAAAATCCTTGCGAACGTTGAGGTCTAACCGAATATTAAGAACATTTGGAGTAAGTAAAATGTACAGAAATTCTAGAGTGTAAAGATATGAGCTGTCTTAATTAGATAGCTGTGGAGCAAGCTAGAGTTTTAATTTTTGCTCAGTGATAAGAAGCAATAACCCTAATCAGTGGCTCGTTCAAGAATAAGAAGTTATGTCATAAATAATTTTGGTCCTCGATTGTAAAGTATTTTTACACTACTGAACACTGACTGCTTATCCCTAGCAAAATTCTAGCCTGTGAGAAAAGTTTATAGTGAAATAATTGCATTCTCAGTCTCCTAATAAACCTTCCACTAACTCATTAACTCTCATATATGATACTTTCAACTCAAAAGAATCTAATTTTGGCAAAGAAGTCTAGAAATCTTCGCACTTAACCACAACCTCTCACTGAGTTTTATTCTGACTAGAATTATCGTGTCTAATATAAGGCGAACAAAATTGCAAACTAGGGTTGGAAATAGTTGGGCTAGTCAGCTCTCAAATCTTCTCTTTAAAGGAGAAAGATATTCGATCATCTATTAGAGACTCGTTCCATCGTCTTCCGTATGGAATCACCCTGTCAGATTGGAAATCAGCCAAATGAAGCAAGACAAAGTTAGTCCATTAAGAATCGTAGCAAAGATTGACAATAACTCTAATTACCACCGCGGTTGGCAACTTAAGATGCGGCTTCGTCTTGATTGTCAGCAAGACTTGGTAAACACTCTGTTCCGTCTCAACACCTTTTATTCAGTTTTTCGATTTTTAATATACGTCCTCAATATCATGGATATTCTCAAAATGTCACGAATCAAGATGCGTAATTTCGAGGCGCGAATTTCTGGGCCGTATGCAGTTATTTTCACAGGGTGCTATTAGGTCTCTACTGCATCTGGTAAAGCTGGGACATTGTGTGTAAATCTAGAAAGTTAGTCTATGTCAAATGGGCTCGAAAGGATTCTTGAATTACTTCATCTCGAACGTGCGCGAAGCACGTGTTTCAAAATATCACGTGCCGTTTTGCTTAGCTTAGGAGAGAGCTACCCAACGTGTCGGCGCCGCAAGAGACACAGAAATTTCTATGAGGCCTCGAACATACCACGAAGTCCCTTCATATTCTAAAAGTTATAGAGAAGTGAGCTCTCCTACTGAGTCACTCTAGGTTTATCCAGTAGAGAGTGCATGTCTCTGGTGTGTTATATTACTTATTTATTTTTAAGGTCAACCAGACGAAAGCGAAGACTATTGCCCCATCCCAAGGCGGGACACGGTGACTACTACCAAAGAAAACACATTCAATTACAATTGGATGCCGAAAGGCCTCGAAAAAAGAACCCTAAGATATTCTGAGCGCTATATAGCGTGTTCCTCACTTGACTAGATCACACGGTGTAGATAGGGTAGATTTCAGGAAGAAACTTAGCCTTCTACAGTGTAGAGGCGAAGCACTTAGCACCACGGGAAGTGCGCAGAAGAATATTGAGAGACTTCAGACTTCGCTGGAGAACGGCAGAGGTCAGCCTCTCTCGAACTAGGGGAAAAAAACCAAATGGGTTATCAGATTTACGAGTCTATGTAGAGTATTGATATACTGAAGGAAGTAGTCGACAGAATTACTGGAAATAGAGCTCAACGTTGGAGAGTATTTCGGGTAAAGCCGAACTCTTCACATTCCAGTGGTGCCGATGTAACCGCTCAGTACGCTCCGAATATCTGGGATAGCCAAGAAGAATCGCATCTGGATCGAAGTTGAAATTAAACCCAAATATATTTAAAATTGATGGCTTCTCGTCAACATTAGACCTATCATTCTCACACGAGTCCTTTACAACCATCTTGCTATACATAAACTTGCCTCAAAGGCCAATATCGGCGTTACTCCAATTGCAATCGGGAATTTGCCTCACCAAAAACTGGCCATCTCCCACTACAAATTTACCATGCCATGTATACCCGCGAGAAAGAAACTAAGTCATAATATACAAAGCTTGGGTCTTGGTCTACAGGGGACCGTTGCTCTAATGAGGCTACACAATTTTTAGGAAGATAAGGGCTAGATAGCAGAATGAGAAAAGGGAGAGTTATTCTATGGATCTACTAGGACTGATAGCTTTACGGTCTTTTTGACTTGAGAGCGTTTGTGGGCACCAAGAGCAGGATTCCGGGTGATTTGCCAGGAGGACCTCTACCATCGATGAGTCAACGGCACTCCCCGGGCCCCTAGACGGTATAAAAGGAGTTGGGATAAGCTAGCATACAGCAATCACGCTCTGTGAAAGCTTCTCTGACATTTCAGCGTGACCTTCGGTAAAAAGTTGGAAGAAGGCTAGAAAGTCAGTGTTAAGTTCCTCTGGTATACAAAAATTTACAGCTCCTAGTTGGGTGGCTTCCTTGAACACTTCAGAAAAGTAGCCACGTCTTTAGGTTTAATCCGGATGTTGGTAAAAGCAGAGCTCCGCACCCAGTAGTTTTGGCAAATTTTACCGGCTGCTATACATCCGCAAATAGTCATCGTTTGGATAGCTAGAGAAATAAGATGAGGAAGGGCGAAAGGCTCCTGAATGTCTGATCAAATCAAGACTTTTGAGGCCAGCTGTATAGGAGGCATAGGAGGGGATTTACTACTATATAAGTATTTTTGGCCTGTAGGTAGAGAGGACCTGTATCTTTTGTACAGTCTAAGACTTAGAAAAGACAATAATAACTCGATGAAAGTGGTAGGAAAGCTGATATCAATGTTTAGAGAAAGATTAGCTGTCATTTAATCGGACGCCAGCAAACCCAAACATTGGGAAGCAGCAAATATCATGACCAAAAAGAGGTTAGGTAGAAAAAGAGTTGCCTGTAGAAGCGATCCCTCCAACATCCGGAGGACGAAGGCTAAACACCTATCAGTAGTGTCCTCTACGAACCTGAGAGTGAAATATTCCCCCAGAGCCGATATTCAGTCACGACAAAAGGTGAATTTGAGAGTTTTCGTCCAGTTGGCGATCGGGAGGAGTGATGTTGGCTCATTTTTGGTCGAAAATCCGACTTGCAGAGATTTCACAACTGCACAACTCATCGAAATCAACCATCTACACCCCAGATACGAACCGCAGACATTCTATAACCTGACTGATGTTCTTATCACAACAACCGACACCTTCAAGATCTTATTTTCTTTTTCTCTGGAATTTCATTCTCAGCCAAACTCATCTCGCGGCCCTCTCCACAATCATCTCATCACCTACCAAAGCAATCCCATACCTCCAAAAGTCAAATTTCCAACTAAGAAGCAAGAGGATGTCCGACCCTCCGCAACTGCCAGTCGCTGTGAAGTACTGTCGAAATACCGGCCTTAGATGCGTCCTCACCTTGGCCAAGGGCACCAAAAACTCGACCTGCGACGAATCACCACCGACGAAATACGTACGACATTTCACCGGCACAAAAACTAGAGCGTTCGACAAAAGCTGGGGTATCGGTGCCTAGGTCTTGAGCTCTCCGTCGCGTTTTCGACCTCCACGGTTAGGGGTACGGTAGCGACGGGGCAAGGCCTGAGGGATGGACATTCCACAAAGTTTTTGGGATGAAGAGATCGGCTGAAGGACAGAGGGATGCTGTATGAAGGAACTAAAAGGGAATACAAACTGAGGAGGCCTTGGTGGGCGACTGGACAAGGCCTCCAATGGGGAAAACGACCCTTGGATGAGATGAGATGAGCCAAAGCTGGGAATGAATGTAAAGGAAAAGTAACCGATGGCGAAGATTTCAAGGGCTCGGGTGCGTGGTGGCCGAGGCTGAGGAGGAATTTGTGCTTCGGCGCGTCAAAAGAGGGTTCTCTGGACGGTTGAGCTTGACATGATTCAACACATGGATGAAGTCTGAGGTACTCTGGTGTTATGATGTGAACTCTCCGGGCCGACTATGCAAACTACGGTAGATAATATATAGACCTATACAAGATATGGTCAGAGTTATGACATCACGGATAGTTGTATGTGGATGAGATAGAAAAGAATGTAGAATATTCTACAAAACAGGATAGAATACTCTATGTCGTAGGATGAGCTCTTTAATATCAAGTAGATAGATGAGCTATGTGTATAAATAGGAGTATTCTCCTTCGCCTAGACGTTTATCATATACGTAACGAAGAATAGCAGTTCCACAGACAGGTTCATCTTCATATTACAACCAGAATTTCCTAAGGCTTAGTTACTTACAAGGCAAGTACTCCCCCTACTACATGAACGCCCAAACAAAATGTCAGGTCACTCATATAGAACGAGGTCTTTCTACATGATGATAGCAGTCTGATCCAGCGTGGCCCCACTTAAACTTGACCTTGTATGAACGTTCGAATATTAAATATCTCCTAGCAAAATCTGAATCACTTTATACAATTTAAACAGTTTTACAGCCCAAATTCCTTCAAAAAGTCTATTGACTGGGGGCCTCACTATATCACAGATTTATTTGAGTGTCTACGGCATGGGAATTCATGTAAAATTGCGACTTAAACGCGGACTAGCCACAAGTTACAAAATCTACCAAATATTGATCATCCAGTCTTGAAGTCAATACTAATATTCCCAGGTCCCTCGAGTACTAACTTACACCCTTACTCGCACCCTAGCTCATGATACGATCCAAAGCGCATCTAGCGCGCTGATATGAAAAAAGAAGAGGCCAGCACTTTTGTACAACCATAACCAATCTCATGTGGTTGGTTTCAAGAGTCCAGAGGAAAGCGCTCCACGAATCTGAATGTTTCCAGCCCTTTTGTAATACTGGCAGCTAGTTCATTTACGGACTCCACCCTATAAACGCCATCTTGATTTTTGGTACCTGGTAGGGAGTCTAAGACAACCGAAGCTTTCGATACAGCACCAACTGGCTTGCCCCATCGGTACGCATCTTGCAAAATCTGGCTAGGCCTTCCAGATGGGAAAAGCGTGTTTGGTTTAGCAACCGGACCAAAGAGAGGTTCAGCACCCATCGTGACTACTACAGCATCAAAAGCAGTTGCATCCGCGGAACTGTAAGTTTGATTAGTGCCGGACAAAAGTGATTCCCCTACAATCACTGCCCTTACTCCCCTGGAGCTAAGAGATGTTGCAAGATGCGCAGCTTGACTAATTGAAGTTGAAGAAGATGTGGAGGCGAGTATACCAACAGTAAATCCAACGACAGACGGTAGCGGCTTGCCAAAGATGGTCACGTAGTCGGTTGTCGCATTTGTGTAGAACTCTGGTGATGGATCGAGTGGCTTATAACCAATAACGGCTGCCACACGAGTAGCAAGATTATTAGAGACTCGATTTAGTTGCATCAATGTATTTTTTTTAATCAAATCCGACTTTATTTGAGATATTTCGAACCGAATTGCGTTCACAAGAAACTGCTGCTCTGAAGGAATAAGGGAATTGTAAAACATGCGAGGTTGAGACCACACGTCTGCGAATGAAGAAGCAGTACCACGATGAAGAGAACCCACGGCTTTACGAGATGGTGCGGTAAAAAATCCACGGCCTTTTGTCTGATTAGCCTGCTTCGGATTGCCTCCGGATAGCGAATTCGGAGAATAGGGGGCTTTATTAGTGTGTATAAACATTTGACCAGCACCATCTCGGTTGTTATTGTGAACTTTGGTACGAGGACGGTTGACTGGAAGTTGTTCGAAATTTGGGCCTCCATTACGGTTCAATTGTGTATCGAGATACGAGTAAATGCGGCCTTGAAGAAGTGCTATTGTATGGTTATTTATAAATTTCAGTTAGCAAAATTTAGGAGTCTTACGATCATCTGAAAAGTCTACACCCCGAACTATGTGCCCAGGTTGAAACTGCATGAGTGTTAGAATGTATAACTTTAGGATACCAAAGCTCTTACCATGACCTGTTCAGTTTCTGCAAAGTAGTTGGTTGGATTGTCTGTCAGTTTCATTTTTCCTAGTATGGTGACGGGAACCAGTTCCTCGGGAAGAAATTTTGTAGGATCTAGCATATCGAAGCCAAATGCCTGTACATCTTCCTCGTCTACAATCTGTACACCGAGCTCCCATTCTGGTCCATTTCCTGCATTTATATCATCCCATAGATCTTGACGATGAAAATCTGGATTTTTCCCGGCCAAAATTTGAGCCTCCTCCCAGACAAGACTTGCCTTTCCTTGCTTTGTCTTCCAATGCCACTTCACAAGCTTGCTTTTTCCGTCGTCAGTGACCAGACGCATTGTGTGAACACCAAACCCATCCATATGACGATAAGACCGAGGAATTCCATGGCCAGACATTGCCCAAAACAAGGTGTGAAGGGTGGATGGCTGTTGAGAAAAGAAATCCCAAGCACTGTCATGACCAGTCGCTGCTTGAGGAATTTCAGAGTCTGGACTGGGTTTAACAGCGTGAACAAGATCTGGGAATAGAATGGCATCCTGAATAAAAAATACAGGAATATTATTTCCCACGATATCTAAGAACCTAATCAATTCTCGTCACTTCCGTTATTATAATGTCAAAAACCTTACCAAAGTTTCCTTCGTCGGTGTAGAATCGTGTGGCAAATCCGTGGACATCACGCACCGTGTCCGCAGATCCACGGGATCCTGCAACCGTCGAGAAGCGAACAAAAACCGGTGTTTCTTTGCCTTTTGAATTAAGAAAACTGGCGGCGGTTATATTACTCCAATCTGCATAGCTAGTAAAAGTTCCATATGCACCTGTAGAATAAGTCAGACTAAAACTTTATATTTAGTAGGGGTATTTACCTGCACCCCGGGCGTGAACAGCGCGCTCTGGTACCTTTCGTTGTAATTAGTCTTTGAAGAAAATATAATATTTCGTACATACCCGCTCGTGATCAAAGTGCTGAATCTTCTGGCGAAAAATGAAATCCTCTAGAAGTGTAGGCCCTCTTTCTCCTGCCTTTAAGCTAGCATCATCCTGAATAGGTCCTCCAGCATCAGTTGTAAGGTATGAATTTGAGTCTTCGACCTTGAATTGGTCTAAAAACTCAGAGTCTGTCCCTCTTGCTTGAATATGAGATGCGTGATACTCCTGGTCTTCGCCGCTCATGTAAGGGCACGACGCGACTGCAAGACCTGAGAGTCCCAGTAAGTTCCAAATGGTAAGCCGCATATTGGTTGTCAGGCCGGATTTTACTTGAAGCAAAGCAGAGGTTTACTAGATGTTTCTTATAGAGGTTGGGCAACAATTGGAATGCTGGCCCACGTCTTTCATACCCTGTCCCCAAATCGGTGCCTATGGATTCAATCAAAAATCTTATATCGACAGGAACTTTTTTTTACTAAGGATTCTCCACTTCATTTTGTGTAGCTTGTAGTGGAAAATGGGGTTTAGGATTTGGAGCCGATAGCAGAAGATGACTAAGGTGTCTCTTGAATTTGTACAAATTCTAATAATTACGCCTGTCGAAACTATAATCCTTTAAAATATAACTTGCCCGCTGAATACCTACGTTTGTAATGTAAGGGAGCAAGTTGCCGTGAAATTTGCAAAAGTGGATGACTCTTTCAGCCTTTCGGCAAGTTATTTGACCGAAACGACACATAAATTTTGACCCTGACATTTATCCTAATCAAAAAATGGTATTAACTTCCTTTTCAATTTATGTCGCCGTATTTCCACAAACATGGTAGTGTGACTGCATTTTCTGCACTGTACACTCCGCAGCGCAGTTGATAACAGTGAACAAGTCCGCTGTATTAAGGGTTTAATAACCTCCTTAGCTCATGCATGCTCCGTAGGACTTCACCCTCTTCGTTATTACTGTGTATTTTGATGATTCGGGCCTTTTGAAGGGACTAGCTCTGAGAGAACTCGCGTCCTACTCCATCGACAAAGCCTGCATGGCCTATTGTGGGTTCTTCAAAGTCAAATGATCTTTCATGAAAAATAATGATAAAGGCTTCAAATTAAACGGTCTATCATGATGCTTGTTGTATTGAAGTAGGATGCTCAGAATCTGTCACTTTATCCTTTCAGTGGGTCCCGGTCGAAGTTTGATTTGAATTAATTGACATAGTTGGGGTGTGACAGAGTTTCCGATAAAAATTATAGTTTGGGACAATAAATGAGGTCTTTACAAGAAGTTGATCAGGGCATCAGACGAAATGCTATGATGCACAACATATTCAACCCCATCTAGTGAAATTTTTCGTTCGAAAACTATGTAGGGTATGTGATTGCTCACTATCTAGTAGCCAACGATTCTGTGCCTTCTTACAGCGTTTTTAAATTATTAGCGTCGTTTAGAATACTTCCTTAGACCACAACTTGAGGTGCCACTTACTTCTTTAACGACTCCACTCTTTAACCCACTAGGCGAAGGCTATTTTCGAGTAAATGGCGGTCGGGGAAACCTCGCAAACCTAATGGCTGTAAGGCACACCTACGAAACTCCAGCTTTCACTTTGGGTATTTGAAATTGATTTTGATTTCAATTAACCCGATCAGGCACCCTATGGGTCCATGCAGGTGACTATCTGCATTATTTACAAAGGAGGAAACCAATTTGGTGAAAACCCCCTGATCCCGTCTTTTTATATTCCTATCAATTTATTTGGTTTACCTTCAGGAAGTGCAGTGTACACTGTTCAGTCCGTGTGGATTCCTTCCTCTCCCCTTCCGGATCTATTTACTTTATCCGACATTGCTACCTCGACTTCTCCTGCAAGTCGAAACTGTTTAATCCACCATTTGTTTAGTATCCACTGTGTAATTCTAGCCATATCTTCTGGACTGTTCATCATTGCTTCAAATGACCTGTCTTTAGCTTGTTGGAGAAAGTCGCCTCTTCCATTTGCTCACTGCGGACACGCCAACACCATATGCTTGACGTTTTGCGACGGATATCCACATTGACAGCTTGGCTTTTCTACTCCGGATACTTTTCTTCTGCTCAGGTAAGAATTGAGTCCGATATGCTCGCTCCTTAGCTGAATGGCGACACTGCTTTGGGCCCTGGTTAGGTTACGGTGGATTCTTAAGGGGGTATCTTTGAAGTTCATTTTGACGCTGCCTGTTTGTTTATCAGTAAATATATTTGCCGCTTTCCAATTTTCTGGATCGGCTGATGCTGGTCGGCCAGGGCGGTGTTTCCTGACACTTTGGGTATTACAAAGCGGAGATTTGATCATACACCTTTTTAATTTCAACTTTTACTTTTTGCCCAACACAACATGGAATTGGGTCACGCGGAGAACAACAGATATACTAGTCCCATTACTGATTAGTGTAAATTGGCGTTTATTTTTGTTATCTTGATTTCGATAAGCCTAAATAAATATAAATAGATAGCTTATCTAGAAAGGATGCCAAATTAGAAGAACAACTATTGTTGCCTGTATAATGTCTCTAATTTTCTAGACTTTTTACCAACGTGAATTCCATCTCTTACATCCTTAATGGTTTCGTGTTTTTCACACATGGTTAACCCATATTATGCATATCGAAATTAGTCAAGTCAGCGATTGTTTAGGGTCTATTTTTAATACCAAACATATCTTCTACGTTGCTGGTCAAAGGCATAGAGATCTCATCTTTTGCTAGCCGCAGGTCATATCTTTTCTATAACAATTGAGTATTATCAATGATATATGGTTAACAAGTGATTAATAACTTTTTATTATACTACTATCCTTTCTCGGGTGACTATTCTCAATACCTGTCAGTGATGACCCCTATGAACCTTCAGCTCTCGTTGTAGAGTCTACAGAGCCAAGATTGAGTAACAAATCTTCACTTCGATGAGAGTTCAAAATTGCATTCGCCATCTGTATCGTCTTCATCTCTCAACACATCCCCCTATCGCCATTATCATGAAGCTAATCACGATCAGGTCAGATGTTAGGGTCGAAATCATACCCATCACACACCCTTAGTTATGGCGGAAAAGCCATACAACGAGTCTCTGGAGCATTCCCAGCATCCGATCCGGAGATGGTGGATTGTATCATGTTTGCTTCTAATGTCACAGAGAGAGGAGATAAAGATGGATATGCGTACCTCATGTGGTCCAGGTGTCTAGGCCTCGCTTGGCCGGGGCTGCAGTTTTTCCGAGACATTCTCCCGCATACGCAGTTTCCGTTGCTACCAGTGTCTCTTTATTATGGGTAGAAGGTTCCTCGGAAAAGTGGCTGGATTCCACGGGTAAATACTCAGCTATATAGATATCTTTCACGGGAAATATATCAGAGATCTTACAAGTAACAAAAGAGGATAGGAGCATTGTACAAAGTATGCACTAGGTCAGAAGAGTCCAATATGCTAGATAGTCATAAACTCAAGTTGCACAACAAACACACCTCTTATTGTCCTTTCTCAGTATAAGCCTATGTGGGACGTGCAAGCCCTCTCTGTCTACCGCCAAGAAAATCTATACCAGTAGTATATCCCATTCTATGCATCCCACAAACTACCCTCACGAGTCCTCATTTTGATCATACACTCAGAGGATCCTTTTACCCATCATCATCTTCTTTCTCTAGCCATCTAAACGATAGCCGTTCGCGGGTGTATGGCAACTGGGTAAATCGCAAAAGCCACAAGGTACGAAGCTCTCCTAATAGCATCACCTGTGCCGAATCTGAAGGCGTAATTATCCTTCTGCAGCGTTTGAAGAAGCCGTCCAGCTGGGAGCTGCAGACTAGTGGATACCTGAGTAGATTCACACTCTGCCCTTTAAGCCTCCTTCCAACCTTCTCCCAAAGGTCGTACTGAAATGTCAGAAAAGTCTTGACAGAGCGTGATTGCTGTATGGTAGCTTAGTCTAACTTCTTTTGTACAGTCTAGGGCCGCGGGAAGTGCCGTTGACTCATGGACAATAGAAGTCTTCCAGCCTAATCAAATGAAACCTTGGTCTTGGCGCCCACAATCGTTCCACAGTCGAAACCCTCACTAAAGTTTACAGTACTAGCTATAGATCCCCTCTCAAGCTTTACAGCTCCATTATAGCAAGAGTCCCCCGTAAGCCAAAACCTGAGCTTTGTATCTCACGACTTAAAATCCCACTCGCAAAATAACGCAGCGTCGTAATTTTGTAGCGGGAGATGGCTAGTAAATGTTGGGCCAGGCTCCCGTTTGCAATTGGAGTAACTCCTTATTGTTAGTTAAGGTGAAATGATATGTGATTGATTAGAGTTTGAAGGCTTGAATGAGAATGACAGACCCGACATTGATAAGAAGCTGTCAATTTTAGATACGCTTGGATTTATTTTTGATTTCGATCCGGATGCGATTCTTTTTGGCTATACTAGATATAGAGAACTTACTGAACGATTATATCGGTACCACTGGAATGTGAAGAATTCAGCTTTACTAGCAGTGATTAATCTTTTTTGACATCAGATTTTAATTACATATGCAGCTATCTAGCTATGCTACAATATCAGAGACAATACATAAAAGACGACTCAATTGTAACTGTAGCACTCATGCCTCTGATTTCATTTGCAAGTACCACTGCGAAGGAATGGTGGCTTTTTCTTCAACCCAAGTCAACCCTCATCCGTGAATAACCACCCAGGGAAACGTCTCAAAAACCCTGAATTATCTAGACATGTCTCCATAATCTATTTAATTTTCTCCGCACGGATTGTAATCCTAAGTTTCTCCTTCCCAAGTGGAGTGTATGCCCAGGCTACTCAAACTATACCAGAGGACGCCGCCAGGAGGCAGACTACAACACCTTCCATCGTTGGCTTATTTTTATAGAGAAAGTTACAGTCTCGCAATCGAAGTATTTGCACGCCCAATTTTCTTCAATACGTAAATCTCCTTGCCAAAATTTGAAATGTCACACCCATCGAGATTGTGTCCTTTTTTTGCATCGTCTTGTAAACTTCTCCCGATTTTTCTTTCGCCCATCCCAAAAAGTCTCCTCTCAAATTTGTGCACCACGCTTTGCTTCCTCCGTCGGGTGTAAATATCGGCGTGAGCGTGTATTTGGTGGTCAACTGAGGCCTGAGAACAGTCGATGAGTGATGTGGTCACTGAAATGAAGACGTACTTAGTCGTATGTGTAGTCTTGATGAGGGTTAAGTAGGAGTCGATCCCGTTGGGAGATTGGCATGGCAGAGTACCTAGAATCATTGCCTTACGGACCAGCTTGTTAGATATTGCAAAATTTGACTGGGCTTAGCTTTTGGAGAATCTTTCACTCCCAGGTTCGTAGAGGAAACCGCGTACAGGTGTTCAGTCTTGCCTTCATTTGATTAAAGTTGTTACAATAATTACTAAATTAGAAACATGTACTAGCGGTTATTACTAAATTTCTTAATTTAGTTCTAAGGAGATAGTATATCCTCGTTCTGGGCAATTTTTATCATCCAGATTTGAACTCATCGATCATCCCCCTCTCTCAAACCAGTCCTTGACATTTTGCAGTCGATATACACACAGACAACTAGTTTTTAGTAGACTTAGACAGGATATAAATGGAAAACACAGATAAATTGGCTTGCGAGTTACGGAAATCTTCTGTCACGGTCTCGAGGGACAGGTTCTGGAGCAACTATGTGGTGGATGGTATTAAAAACAATTCTAAGGGGAGAACTACCACCACGTCTATCTAATCATGTACATACATGCGAAAGCCTCTTCGCCACTGAGGCTTATCCCTCTCTTCTATCCTGGGCTGTGAGACCCTCCTAGTGTGCTGAATACACTTACAATACAGCACTGTCGCATTATATTCAGAATAAGATGTGCTAGGTCTAATATATTCCCATTTAATGCTCGCCCACCAACGTGTGATGCAGTTCCGTGCCGCACTACCGTCACATACCATGCAAATGCCGACGCCCATATAATGTATTCAGTGGCAACACATATTAGTACATTGGTAGTGATCAATGTTGCGCCACCAAAACCGGGCCTATTTTGACCAAAATAGGTTATAGGAACTAATCGGCTTACCAGTCTTTACATTTTCTTCGATAAAACAATATGAGACCGGTGAGGTCACGTCTTATCTGATTGACGATACGAATGTCTGTTCAACTCAGATTTATTCATTTACCTTGTACCATATTTACTACCCTACCGCGTAATAATTTTATGTAATGTCACATAAGATCACTGTGCCTGCAAGCTGTAACTATCGATGCCTCGAGTAGTACACTCTCTCCCATGCCTTTTTCATGGCTTCTATCGAGCGGTAATACCTCCACACACCTTCCTATGAGTACTCGCCTGTAGGATCTGGTCCCTTTTCGTCTTTATCGTTTAATGTGCTATCGGAAGCATGTATTCGAGGAAGGTGAGGATAGGCCAGCTTAACGTTGAAGAGGTGTTACTCAATCTCGACTCTGCAGACTCTGCAATAAGGACTGGACGTTTATAGCGGTCACAGCTGAGGAGTGTTGAGGTCTCGTTCGCCAATTTGTATTTTTTTCATTGGGAATAGATGTGTAGTGTATTCCATTCAGAGAGGTACTTTCTTACAGGTCGTATGATCAGCTCTGGTCATCATGTATATAACTTAATTGAATTTAAGTTCCTACTGAGTCTATGACAATGAAGGAATTATAAAGCTATCTTAACATCTTTAAAGCTCAACAGCAAATATGAAAATTGATACAATAAATTTATCATGAAGGATAAAGATGGTCATCAGGTATCGTCCTACTAGGCTCACCCCGGTCATGCCTATTGGGGTGAGAGGCTAGCAACGAGGCATGTAACAATCGCCAAAAATAATTGAAAATAGTATACTACCTACAAAAGGCGGTCATATCTCCAGGCCCACTAAAGATACAACTATTCGACAAATTTTCTCCTATGACGATCCTCGAGACATCAAATTCTTCTAGCGCTACTCAATCCAATGCGCTGTACAAGGCACCTTTTCCATGCGCAACGGGCGGGCACTTGTCAAGGAAAGTTATTCCTCCTAGTGTTCCATCTCCACCACCCCCACGCAGAAACGACCATCGAACTCCCGAGTCTTCGCACCAAAATACAATGATACAGAATTCAAGCCGGTGGATATTCACAGAGGAAGAAGTTCTAAGTTCGCCATCAATTCGTGATGGCCTTGACCCAGTTGAGGAAAGATGTCGGAGAGCGAAGGGTGTTAACTTTATCACTCAAGCTGGCATCCTCCTCAAACTTCCGCAGCTAACTATAGCAACTGCAAGTATCTTCTTTCATCGCTACTTTATGCGACAGACTATGCTTCCTGAAAAAGGTGGCGTTCACCACTATGTACGTTCAATACTACCTTCAACCTTACTCAGACTACGGTTCATTTGAGCAGCTAGAGCGAGGACGCAGAGCTGACGTTTGAACGGAATATCGCCGCTACTTCCCTATTCCTCGCGACCAAAACAGAAGAAAACTGCCGTAAGACGCGCGAAATTGTTGTCGCTGTCGCCAAGGTGGCCCAGAAGAACCCATCCCTCATTATCGACGAACAATCAAAAGAGTATTGGAAATGGCGTGACAGTATATTGTTACTTGAGGAGCATATGCTTGAACTTTTGACTTTTGATCTTGTCGTGCATACACCGCATACTAGCCTACTTCGCTACCTAGAAACTCTCGGAATTGAAGAAAACAAGTCCCTACGGAATTCGGCTTGGGCTTTTCTCAACGACAGCTGTATGTCGCCACTATGCTTAACCATGCCAGCACCGGATATAACAATAGCTGCCATATACTTTGCCGTCAAACTCAATAATGAGACTCTGCCTGACTTTGACAACGTACCATGGTGGCAATACATTAATGGAAACCCTGAAAAAATTGTCAAGGCTGTCACAATAGTTGATCGCTTCTGGACCGAGAATCCTCTTAAAAAAAACGATCGACCCTTTGGGAGCTCACCATCTTCGCAAGCCGATCTTGATAGGACTCGCCGCCGAGGATCAGACGTTCCAAGTAGCATAGGCTACGATTACTCAGAAACTGGTGGCGAATCGCGCCGCTCACAAAACTTGCCGAATTCTCAGCATACATTGGACGGCCAGGGTTCCTTCAAGAGTGATCTCACTCCCACTAGTATCATCAATGGAAATTCCAGAGAAAAGTTAACAAATGGAAACTGCAATGACTCGAAATCGGAAAACAACGAAATATATAGTTTGCAGAAATCTGAGCAGAATAAGAACAACATGGAACTACCTACCGAGACTGATCAGGATCAACTTGATGACAACATAGAAATGAACAAATCTACCTCTTCTAGACTAGGGAATAATCCAAATGATGATTCTTCCATTGCTGAACGTGATTCTAGGCCTAGTCCTCCTAAACGAAGGCTCAACGAACAAACACCAGAAGAATCTCAGGTAAAGCGGCTAAAATTAAACGATGTCACAATGGAAGATGAAAAAATGCAGTAATACGATACAGTATTTCCCTGAGCAAACTACAAACTTTCAAGTCAATATTTTAATAAGCTATTTTCCCACGAATTTGCCTGTGGTCTTAAATTATATTTTATCAAAGAATAGGATGAATCACGGTTAAATTACCTGTCGCTTCATCAATTCTTTCAAAAAAGTTTTCACATGGCATAGCTTATCAAAATATAGATGTATGCTACTAACAAGATCTAACAAATAGAATTAGTTCAGAAAATGTGAATTTCAGAACCAACCTACAATCTTCTGAAAATGGACATCCACCTACTGCAGCAACACTGCGTCGTGTATTTGATCGACAACGGACAAGGAATTTAATTGGCTTGGCATAGTCTAACACTGTATAGAAAATATAAATACCTAGCTTTCTTGTAAGGACTTGATGATAAACTTAGCTAAAGTAAAGATAAGCCTTTAGATAGTGACGGTAACTTGGATGCTGAAAACCCACTTTGAGCACAGGTGAAACAGATAACTCCACGTCTAAATGGTTTAATTTATGTTTACCATGAGAATCATAAGTTTTAATTAAAATCTTGTCGTAACCTAAAGATAATAAAACGGTTCTTGGCTAAAATAAAAATTTCTCGTAACCTCTCGTTTAGTTGCATGTACTAACAATTAACTCTGAGTTACTGGTAAGCTCATATGATTTGGCAGCTCTACAGAAACCCTACACCTGCAGGTAGGACAATACGTAGGAAATTATCTGCCATATAATAAAGTTGGTTCATGATTCTGGGGATTCTCTCGTCATTAGTCACAAAACCGTACCACTCTGACCCTAGATTCCTCTCTAAAGTCGTAGGACGGGCAGTCTAGAGAAAGCTTAAGAAAATTCATATGATTATAAAAGAGTGGTCGTTCAAGAAAGGGTCCAACAGGAAAATCTATAATCTATGTAATTGGTGTAAAACGCAACACCTTTAAATTAAAAGCAACTAATAAAACTATTAAAGCTGTTGCTCAATTGTATCAGCTTTGCCGACAGAACGATGATTAGAGAAGGACCGAATTCAATAGAGTCAATGCCACCAGAGACGTTCATAGGGATAGGGACTTTCGCAACTTTACTTTTTAATGGTCTCGTCTTCACCTTCTACATGGTTGCTATCTAGCATTTCCTCATCTGAAAAGTCTTCGCTATCCCATTCGTCCATATCTAGCTCCTCTTCATCTTCCTCTTTGTTTGCAGGAGTACTCGTCTTCTTTTTCTTCTTTTCAATGTTTTCCCGTTGCTGGCGTTTTCTGGCTTCTTTTTCTTGGTGTCTTTGTTTCCATCTCTTGTCCAGCGCTTCAATTTCTTCTGGTGTCTTCTTAATGTATTCGTGCCACATGATCTTGCCACTACACAAACCTTCCTCAACTTTAGTCATGCGTAACCTCATTCTCGGACCCAATTCGACAAGCTTTACGGCTCGCCTATCCGTGCGATTGTTCATCCCAGAATTTTGGCTCTCTCTTGCACGGCGATCTTTTTGTTGCTTAGATAGTATCTTTTTAGCTCTGATCTCCGCCACTTCAACCTCTGCATCCGTATCAACTTCACTTCCGCTGGTAAAATCGGTCATGTACCCCCTGGATTCATCACCGACCATAAACTCTGCAATATCTGTCATTTTCCCCAAATTAGGTAAACTTCCTTTGCTTGTTTTATTGTTATTTTGAGATTTGATTAACTTCTCAGCAGCGTTGAGCCTTCGGAGAGGTTTGGATAAGCCCAAAGCTTTCGTAGTTATTCCGTAATGTCGTAAATTCAGGGTGTATGTCCCGTCATTTTCTTTGGCGGGCTCACGGTTGAGTAACATAACCCGCTTGATTGAAGAGGGTGGTGTAATCTGCGGCATGATAGGCGGAAAGAGTGATTGGAAAATAGTTGTCACGAGAGACTCGAGGTGCTTGGGAACCTTATTTTCGGCTTTTGTATCGGCTGAGGAAGGAGTGGTAAAGTTATTCATGACCAGCTGCGTATTTAATATAAATGGTTAGGGGAAAGTTGTTATGAGGAGAGGCACTCGTACCAGAGGGGCTGTTATGTATTCTTTCCCTCTACCTCGAGGGCGTTTGTATGCTTTCCTCACATCTTTACACAGTGAATACTTTTCGACCTGGAAATTCAGTGTTGGGCCGCGCGGCGTGATAGCGACTCGCAAGTTAGTGTTGCCAGATTCAGAACGCGAGAAGAGCATAAGATGCGTGACAGATAAGGGCCCAGCCATGGTGATGTAGTCTCGTAACCTGTTTGCCCTCCTTTCCTTAAGACGCGCCGCAGTATCTGGCGACATCATTAACCTTACGTCCTTTACCAGCTGGCTTACACTAGGTCCGACTTCTCCAGCTCCAATGCGAATCACCATCGTTTTGGGAGTTTTTGATGATTTGCTCGAAGCCAATTTAGTCGCCGGTCCATTATTAGAGCCAACATGCGTTCTCTTTTTAGTGCGTCTTCTCGCCATTTTTGCGTTTGCGTAGGTAGCAGATTTGATGAATCGCAACTTGACTGTATTTTCTGCCCAGCCAATCAATTGACCTGGAGATTTAAGGGACCCCAACGAGGCTAAGGAAAAAATTGTGTAGCCCGTCGCCAAATTCATCAAGCTGCGAACCACGCCTTTCGGACCCGATAAAATTTTGCTCAGGCCGGAAGTTTGATGCGAGAAGCGTTATAACTTACAATGCAGTCATCGAAGAGAATCAAACTCGACACTCAACTTCCCGAAGAGAATCAATCAGTGATCGCAGACTCCAAAGTAGCACCAAATATATCTGTTCAGAACCCACTGACGACACACGATGAGGCAAAGCAAGAAGCGGATAATATCACAGAGTCTGATCATTGTGAGGATGCTACCAAGAGTTTCGAAGAGATAGTTAGTATTCATATCTTTCAAAAAATGTATAGATTCTTACCTAGAAAAAGGGAATCGTCGACTCGCTATGCGAAGCTTGTACAGCACTCGGGTACAAGACCCCCACTCCAATCCAAGTACAAGCAATACCTCCAGCACTACAGGGTAGAGATTTGATCGGATTGGCAGAGACAGGAAGCGGAAAAACAGCGGCGTTTGCACTACCGATACTACAGGCCTTGCTGGAAAACCCTCAGCCGTTTTTTGCCCTAGTACTGGCCCCCACCCGCGAATTAGCATATCAAATATCAAAGGCTTTTGAAGCCCTCGGCTCACTTATATCTGTTAGATCAGCTGTCATTGTGGGTGGTATGGACATGGTGCCCCAAGCGATTGCTTTAGGAAAAAAGCCACATATCATTGTTGCTACTCCTGGAAGATTATTAGATCATTTTGAGAACACCAAAGGATTCTCTCTCCGCTCATTAAAGTATCTGGTCATGGATGAAGCTGATCGACTACTAGACCTTGACTTTGGACCAATCCTTGATAAAATTCTGAAGATACTTCCGCGGGAAAGGCGAACCTACCTCTTCTCTGCAACCATGAGCTCTAAAGTTGAAAGCCTTCAACGAGCAAGTCTAAAAAATCCACTCAAAATCAGTATTAGCAGTAGTAAGTACCAGACTGTCTCAACGCTACTACAAAATTATCTTTTTATACCACTCATTCACAAGGATACCTACTTAGTCTTCTTGCTAAATGAATTTGCTGGGAGATCTGCCATCATCTTCACGAGGACCGTCAATGAAACCCAAAGAATAGCAATCCTACTTCGCTCCCTCGGCTTTGGTGCCATACCTCTGCATGGACAACTGTCTCAATCTGCACGTCTCGGGGCTCTTAATAAATTTCGTGCTGGGTCACGAGAAATACTAGTAGCGACTGATGTTGCTGCTCGCGGTCTCGACATACCCTCAGTAGACATTGTTTTTAATTACGATTTACCCCCTGATAGCAAAACCTACATCCATCGCGTTGGAAGGACTGCTCGTGCAGGAAAATCTGGACATGCTATCAGTATAGTCACCCAGTATGATGTAGAGATATTTAAAAGAACTGAAGCCGCTTTAAAAATGGAGTTGACTGAGCTCAAGACTGAGAAAGAAGAAGTCATGATTTTTAAGACAAGGGTCGAAGAAGCTCAACGTCACGCCCGAAATGAAATGAAAAATTTGCACGAAGACCGCGGGAAAAAGGGATCAGTGCTCAAGGGGAGACGACCAGCTAAAGGTGGTGTAAAGAGGGGACGAGACAATATGGATAGAGAGGAGGGCTAGCCAATGTACTATTCTTCATTATACCTGTTGATTGAGCAGTAAGGAGTTATTCACCGTGATGATACCAGGAATGAGATGAACTCTCATAAGGGTTATGGCGTAATGTCGATTTTTTAGAATCAGGGTGCATGTGGTTGTCTGGCGATGACAAAATTTTGATCTTATTCTAGTACCCTAAATTCGGGCGGCAGATTTTTTGTATCGACATGCACAATAGCAGACAAAGAATAGACTGCATTGGAACCTTATTTTAGCTCCATTGGAATCCGAGAAACGCTTAATTAGTATTTCCAGAAATATAACTAGACATCTCAGAAGACTCAGTTCCGTACATGTTCGAGGGGCCCTAAATCCTGACAATTCCAGATATTCAATTGATTATCCATCGCAAAATTTAAAGTACATAGCAACGTGATTCACAGTATGACGGCTCTACTATCTATCATCACAAAGGATGCTCAGGAGTCTATTGGTACCAGGTATCCATCTCGTTCCAAGTGGTCGTGTCAGCGTGCACCACTTTCATACCTCTAAACATAGTGTCTGTTAGTTTTCTTTTTCATCACTTTCATAAATCGTAAAAACCCGTGGTGAGGGTGCAGGCGATATTATAAACACCGCCATGGTCATGTGGAGTGGTGCTACGTCGTCTGGACCGACCTCCCAAAAAAGGTATGGATAGCTATGTTGCAAACCCCACTAGAGACAGGAAACCGCTGGTTCAATCAGGCATAACACAACCACAATTTTCGCGGCGCCCGTATGCATGGACGACGAAGTTATACTTGGACAACAAAAGGTTTTGAAGGGTCCCTGCCGAACGATCTGATGACTTAATGATCTTTCATGCATTATCTTAGAAATGATCACTAATTGTGTTGATGAATAATGAGTTACCTATTTAGGAATGGCGTTAGAAGGTAGAGATAACTGCCGTATAAATGTGTTTCCTAGAGTTTGATCATAGACAAGAAACAAGAAACATGTCAACCACAATCGTCATTATTGCCATAGAGAGCTTGTGACACGAACACTATCTGAGTATTCCGAAAGCACCTTTGGTGGGTAATCTCAAAGGATGGCCGTCTGCTTGTACATGGAAGCATACCTCATAGTGGCATCTGCGAATTAAATCTAGAGTATGAATGCCACTCAGGTTAAAGTGTCATCCGACATGAACACATAGCTCTGATCATGTTGAATAACTAGATAGCTGAATACACATCGAATGATTGAAAAAAGACGCCTTCCCCACCCCCGACGCCGTTCAGATGAATCATATGTCCTAATCTCTACTGCACTGCTATTCACATATCGGCCAAACTACCATTGAAAGCCATCTTGTGACTGGCCAAAATGATAAGCAGTAGGAATTTAATTTCTTTACGTAGATAGAAAATTTATTTTGAGGCCATAATAAACGGAACAGCCATATTACACTTTCCAAATACTATACCAACACAAATGGTGAACATAGATGAGAACTAAAAGGCCTCTTACCCTAATGTTTCTTCTTGTGGGAAATTATTACTTTGTACATATCAGCGATATCTCCCACGAACCTCATGCCCTCACCTTCGAGTTTGGAGAGCAAGGATTGAGTCAAGTACAAGCCGGGAAGACCTCTCTTATCGACGAGTCTGCGGCACTCCCCATTATCACAGACGGCTTGAAAGAATTTGGGCTAAACTATATTACAGCAATCACGCTCTGTCAATCATTTTCTTGATATTTCAGCACAACCTCCAGGAAATAGCTGGAAGGAGGCTAGAAATGGAGAGTGTTGAGTTCCTCTGGTACAAATTAGTCTGCAGCCTCTAGCTGGACGGCTTGTTCGAACACGTCAGTAAGATAGCCACTTTTTCAGGTTTAGTCTGGACGTTGGTAAAAGAAGATCTCCGCACCTAGTAGTTTTGGCAAAATTTCCCGGCTACTATACACCCGCAAATGGCCATCATTTGGATGGCTGGAGAGAGAGGATGTTGAAGGGTAAAAGACTCCTTTCGTGTATGATCCAATGAGGACTTATGAGAGTTGGTACTATTTGAGGGGAGCTGTGTGAGAGGCAATAACAATGTCATGGTGATACATCCCTGAAGAAGGTCCGAGGAGAAGAATCTTGGGGAAATTCTACAGGTAGAGTCAGAGGGGCTGGAGTCATGATCAAATCTTGTTATAGCTTCAATTGAATTCTATTACTGTCTTGAATTAGAGGTAAGGAAGCTGGAGCTGCCACAAGGTAATTCTTTAGCTTCTCAATCTTGTGTTCTAATAATCCTTTAATCTTGTATTCTTAATCTTTTAATACTTGTGACATTCTTCATACTTCATATGATATTAAATTTTCAGATTACCTTGCTTGCTCCGTAAATTGACTCGTTTACTTCGACTGGAATTCGTTTACCCTATCTTCAACGACCTAGCACCTTGCCAGTCTTATTATCTCTATGTTTCTTTCATTAGTATTTAAAATCATAGTTATCACAACAGTAACTTTGGCAAATAGGACGACTATTCAACACCTGTCAGTGGTGTCCCCTACGAACCTCCAGCTCTCACTGTAGAGTCTGCAGAGCCAAGATTGAGTAATAACGTCCTCACTTCGATGAAGATTTCCAATCGCTTTCGCGGTCTGTATCCTCTTCATCTCTCAGCTGTGACGGAAACCGAGTTGGTGATGAATAAATTGATTTAATAAACTGTATGTGGAGAAAAGCTAACTCTATCTACTACTAACAGGTATTTATAAGAGTTAATCTACAGTGTGAATCTACAGACTAGTGACTTGTCCTTATGCACAATACTTCCTACCCAGCTACGTATTTCTAGGTGTCACTAATTTGTAATAACGCTTCAGCCTCCTGACTAGTAGTGCCGTTTCGTTCAGCATCATCTCTCCCCATAGAGCCTCATCGTAAGAATTCTTAGTATCAGGCTTAAGTATCCACCTAAGCTCAAACAACGGTCAAACCGTAACATCAGCATATTCCCCTATCATCATTATCATGAAGCTAACCACGATCAGATCAGATGGCAGGGTCAAAGCCTGATCATCGCCCGCCCGTAATCATGGAGGAAAATTCATCCAATGAGGTTCCAGAGTGTACCCAGCACTCGACACGGCAATAGTGGATTAGATCAAGTCGGCCTCTAATGTTACAAAGAAGAGAGGTATAGACGGATGTATGCACTCCATATTGGTGCAGTATCTAGCCCTCGCCTGGCTGAGGCTGCAATTTTCTTCTAATCTTCCAGAGCACGAAGTTTCCATTGCTACCATTGTTATTACTTTGGGTAGAAGGTTCCATGGAAAAGGTGGCTAAATGTGCAATATATCAATCGTTGTTCCACAATCTTAGAGCGACGGCTACTGTAGATTTTCTTTGGGGCGAATTAACAAATATATTGCATTAAGTATATATGTCGCAACTACCTTTATCCACTGACACCTCTCCCAAAGGAACTCCTCGCCAGAATAGTTTTCCATCTCAGGTCTGACCACCTTTCCTTCTATGACTAATTCATGACTAATCCAAAGCTCCTTCTTGACCAGTTTCAGGGTTAAGTTTACTCCAAGCAGATTAGGGTACTGTATGCGAGAGTTCCTACATCAATGATCTTAAAAGTAACAGAATAGGGTAGGAACACTGTACAAGGTGTGGCCTAGGCCAGAAAGAAGCCCAGTGTGCTAAATAGTCTAAGACTCAAGTAGTACAATATACATACCTCCCTCTCTCACTTCGGCAGATGACTATGTTTAGTACCAATAGCGCACGCTGTAACAGATAGGACTTTATTAGCCGAGGCAAAAATGCACCCGGCCATTTAGCACAAGACATCCAAATGTTCATATCTAGTGTTAGACTGGGATGAGCTAATAATGAAGAATTGTCAGAAACTTTCCCGTTACAACATCCACATTCTTATTCACACTTAGCAGATGGATTAAGTTATGCAGTATAATAATTCACTTACCTCCCCCCTGACATCCCTCGTGGCGCAATTGGCTAGCGCGTTCGACTGTTACAAGCAATCTGTGCAATCGAGAGGTTGGTGGTTCGAGCCCACCCGAGGGAGGAAAGGCTAAGTCAAACCAATACTTTAGTAACGGGTGAGGGAGATTTATTGCCACGACATCCATTGTATCTTATAATCTCGTTGTGTCGTCCGTGTGTAGCACCTAAAAATCTGCATCCACACCCGGCATAACGACCGAGTTACGGGCTTTAATTTTCCTTTTACTTGAAGCCATCCCATCTCTACGAATTTTGGTGACTGGACAGTGCCCGGTCCTTTCGCTTCAGCCCTCTGGCGGACACCCAAGTTGTCCAACATAGCGTTGGGAAGCTCATTCTCGGATAGGGAGCATGACCATAATGCCAGCGGTCCGATCACAATTGTTGGCCTATTTTGGAAACGGGAGTAGTAGGTAACAAATCATCGAAGGGTTGCTTCTCTATTCTCTGGCTATCGAGTATCTAAAATACATAGTTTTCCTCATTTGGAACCCTACTAGATAGCTCGCTGGCAATAATGCTATCACCGAAACGTACCAAACCGTGCTGAGGGCAGATAAGATGAGAATATCATCGGAAACATAGATGTAAACCCAATTCAAAGTATGAGTTATGTAAAATCCGAACAAAAAGATTTTTTCCTTGATACACATCATGTATCAGCATTAACTTCTCCGACCCGAGTCATGTTATGAGCAAATTCGGGTAAACCTAAAATAACCGTAGCGCAACAACAATTATCCGATAAATTCGACGAGCGCGTGAGGGAGGGAAGGAGAGGAGGAAAAAGAGAAGCTTAAAATTTTAAAAAATTTTGAGATTGGGTACAGAAACATGTTAGGGTCCGAAGCTGTGGGAGGTCGCAAGTGCCCTATTGATTTCTATCTACGACGCTTAAATACACGACCACCACGCTACTAGTTCTAATTACATAACCACATAACGTAACCCGCTACATCTCTAGTCCCGTAGGAGCAACTTGTC